CCAATTTGTAGAATAAGAGAGGGATTCAACCAAACATTTAGAAGAACATAGCATGTACAGGCAAAAAGATGGAAAAAAAATCATTTGAAACCCATAAAATTCAAGACTACTTTTCGTATTTTCAATTGGATAATTAATCCCCCATCTTTCTAGGTTAGTCAATCTCAAATCTCTTTACCTCAACATTCCAGCAATGTGGATCTTTGTGGGGAAGAAATTGAAATGGTAGTGCTGGTTTGGGTGCTACTTTAGAGGAAAGAGGCTACAATGATGGGGAAATGAGGGGGTTTTTGTGGGAGGGTGAGGGATTAGGTAGTCTGGTTTTTCTGGGATCCAAGAGTTTAGATCCAGGTGCTAGCTAGAGCAAAAAAATTTTTAAAAAATTTTTTAGATCTTATATATATATATATATATATATATATAAGCTAGATCTAAATGAGATGAAATTGATGGTTACTAGTGGGTGATGAGTGCCCAAACTGTGTGATGGATACCCAGATTTTTTGGATTCTTTGCTATGGAGAAGCAAGGGGAATAGATGGAGTGGTAGGAAGAGAAGAACAAGAATGAATGAGGATGGAAGAAGAGAAAGAAAGGAAGGAGAAGGGAGGAAGAAAAAGAAAGGAAAGAGAAGGGAGGAAGAAAAAGAAAGGAGGAAGAAGTTAGGAAAAGCAGTGGCCAACACTGGTGGCAGTGGCCAACACTGGTGACAGTGCCGGTGCTGGTGCTGAAGAAGACAAGGAAACAATGAAGAATCAAAGAAGGGAGAAGGGATTGAGTTATTGTATGTTTGGAATTAAAAATAGAGTATGGCTGGGTGAATGGCTCCAAGGTTAAGTTATTCACCTTTTATTCTTAATTAGACTATAAATATATTTTTTAAAGAAGGGTAACTTGTTGGATGTTGATTCAATGGGTGCAAGAATCATTTCCTACAAAATTAACCTAGCAAACATCTTCATCCCAAAACAAAAAGAAATATGTGCATTATATTAAGGGTTTTTTTAAAGTCACAATTAAAGATACACTTATTATAAATTTTTATTATTAATGTACATTAAAAAATAAAACTTAACATTAATTTTATCTTCGTCATTCTCTCCTACCCTTTCTTTGGCCCTACTTGCAGCCTTCATCTATCTTAGTGCTGGCGGATGCATGATGAATTAATATTTTCTTCTCATGAGTTTCTCTATTTAGAGATGCTGTTTACTTCTTGTTTGCTTTCTACTCATAAATCCCAACACATTGGAAATAAGTATATCATGAACACCAAACTCAAGCTATGGAAATTGCACATTTTAGAAAAAAGTATAAATTGACAAGAAGTTTGCACTCTAATACAAAGTAGTAACACATTGCACTAGTTCACTAACAAATCACAAAAGTAGCACTTTTTATTAGAGCCTAGATACCCAAAGACTTAATATCCTGGTTTTATTCCATTACAATGATATGCAAACATGATATTGCAGGGCGTAGATAATTTATCTTGAAATAAGATTAAAACACGATCTCCATCAAGGATAAACCTCAATGAGAGATCTTACACCCAATATAGGAAATATCTTATATCCACTGAAACCTGCTTCAAAGAACAACTTAGCCCATTCTTCCTCATTCCTCTCCATTCCTGTAACCAACACCATCAGCAGCATGTCAAAGAAAAGCTGTGTTTCAATTGACTCCTCATCTCCTTCATTCGTCCTCACCATATCTATTATGATAACTTTCCCACCATTTCCATTCTTCTTTATTGCTTCTTTGCAACGATTAAGCATTTTCACACATTCTTCATCACTCCAGTCATGTAGAATCCACTGCTTCCCATAAAAAACATAAGTTAAATTGAGTGGATAAACAATGTAATTACTACTGTCGATTTGAAGATTTTGGTGTATTGAATACATACCTTTAGCAGCAGTGCATCTGCTGGTGGAACCGTTTCAAACATGTCTCCTCCAACAAATTTCAAATTCTTCATGCCTTCCAAGCCAGCCACAACGTGAGGAAGATCAAATACGGTGCAGTCCAAGTGTGGAAATGCATCAGCAATGGCCTTGGCTAGCGTTCCAGTCCCACCTCCTATGTCCACCAACGAGCTTAATCCCTCAAATACCTTTCTATGTTTGTCGTCGACCAGCACTTTGCCAACCAGTTGAGAATCACTAGCCATTCCATTGTTGAATAAATGATTTAACCTTGGGTCATAGCCAGCACATCCCCAAAGTGTGGTTCCATGTTGTGTATAAAAAGCGTTGACATCGTCATTTTGGAGCCAAGAGGCTAAACGATACCAGGGCTTGGTCAACATGGGGTCAAGCATAATGTTCATGAAAGGGGTTACACTCATGGGTTCATTCTTTAGGAAGAGGTGAGAAGCATTGGTGAGAGAATAACCATCTTCTTGGTTGTTCTCCCCTAGCTTCTGACATCTAAAGAAGCCAGAATGAACCAAAATGCACATGAGGCGTTGGATGCAAGAAGCTTTTTTTGCATTGATTTGAAGTGCAGAAACAAGCTCAGAAA